TCTGCTCCAAATGATAGATGCAAATCCCATGATGGCTTTCAGGATATACCTTTACAATGCCATATGCAATAGCTTGATGCCTGTCTGATAAAAAAAATTAAATTCTCACGGCTCCCAATTGCATTGTGAAGCTGACTAAAGTACCACTCATAGGAATTGTTATTTTCAGATTCTGCTATTCCAAAGGCTAGTGGGAAAATTTGGTTATTTGCATCCTTTGAAACTGAAATCATTAAAACACCACGAAATTTTGACTTCAAAAAAGTTGCATCAACAGCAATCACTGGTCTACAATAATTCCAACCAGATATTAATGATCCATATGCATAAAACATATAAAGAAACCTGAAAATACAATATAAAATAAGGTTAACAGAAGTTAAGGACAGGTTGTCCTGAACTTCAGATTATAAGGTTAAAAGTTAAGGACAGTCAATCCTTAACTTTGAGTTCAAAATTCAAAACTTAAGGACATGCAATCCTTAAGTTTTAATTACAAGTTCAAAAGTTAAGGACGTCCAGTCCTAAACTTCTGGTTGTAACTCAAAAGTTAACTGGTTAAAGACAGCATGTCCCAAATTTTATAAAACGTACTAATACACTCTTTTTTTGATTGTTTACCTGTTGTTGTCGTCTATCTTTATGTTAGTATAAGTTCCCGGGTTTTTACTTGTCATCATATACAAGTATGAAGACAATAATTCATAATTCTCTTCGGGAGTTCCTCTTATTAAAGCGGAAGCAAGTTGAATAGCACGCCACGCCTTGTGATACCCAATACCTAGTCCATGCAATTTTTGCATCTCTGCCATGACAAAAGCTGGTGTAACTTCAAACCTTGGGTCTCGAAGATTGTCGATAATGTAACCACTAATCAACTTTGAAGTTGCATGTCTTTGATCAGCTTTCATAGTGTTAACAGAGCAGTCATGCTTTTTCTCAATCTTTACTATCTTGAAAAATGTTGAATCTTTAATTCTGAAAGCACGCACACACCAACCACACCTATCATCATTGCATTTCAACGAATATCTTGTTAAGCTTGATCTAACAACGTTGAATTCAAAATGTTCTTTAATTGCTATATTCGAAAAACAGTTAATTATACTCTTCTTTTTGTCAAATACTGATCCCACTTTTATTTCATCCAATGAAGCATTTTCTCTTAATATCGTAGTTGGAGATTTTTTTTGTTTCAAATTTGATTGTCGTCTAGTTAGTTGAGTAGAGGTTTTTTCAGCAACTTCTTCGATTACCGGTGCACTCTCTAAGACTTGAATACCCAAAGCTTGTTCGTTGTCAATCTCTATAATACTTTGTCATTCTACTTGAATAGAATCAAATGTTTGAAACACCTCTTTAGTTATTGGTTGAGCTTCAACCAAATCTATTTCCATTATCTGTTGGCATTTGTTTTGATTGCCATGTTGAGTTTCTCTGTTGACATGTGTTTGAAGCACCTCTTCAATTATTGCTTGAGCTTCAACCATATCTATTTCCATTATTTGTTGGCATTTGTTTTGATTGTCATGTTGAGTTTCTGTGTTAACATATTCGTTGCTTGTTGATCCAAAAACTCTTTCCGAAATATCAACAATGAAACGACAAGCCTTGAAGAGTGAATGAGTTTTTAGTAACTCTATACATGTGTGAAGATCTAAATCTTTGGATACAAGCATTCCCTTGCTTGTTCCAAGGTTGATATCAAACCATATCACTGCTTCAAACTTGTGTCTATCCAATTCAATAACTTCAAAGATCTGTTTAATGAAATCTTCAAACCGAATTGCCTTAGGTACTAGAACAAGCTTTGTTTGATGTCAAGATATTTATAGTCTTCAGTCCATCTACCATTAAAAGCAACTATAATACATAATGTTTCCATCCTGCAAGTCAAGAGAATGGGAAACTCATGACATATTTTATAATGCAATCTTTGTATAATTAAGAACAGGTACTGTAAGTTCAAGACCAAGTATCCTTAACATTTGAACTTGGAATTCAAACTTAAGGACCGCCTGCCCTTAACTTTTGAACCTGTAATTCAAACTTAAGGACTGTATGTCCTTAACTTTTGAACCTGCAAGTCAAACTTAAGGACTCTTGTCCTTAACTTTTGAACTTGAAACCCAAAGTTAAGGAACTACCTGTCCTTAAGTTAAGGACTACCTGTCCTTAAGTTAAGGACTACCTGTCCTTAACTTTTTAACTTATAACTCTCCTTAAATATTGAACATGTAAGTCAAAGTTCAGGACCAAGTTTGAGTTTCAATTTTCAAAGTTAAGGACAGTTAGTCCTTAATATTATGTGTTCAATTTTTATAGAATTAACCTGGAATTCAAACTTAAGGACTTCCTGTCCTTAACTTTTGAACCTGCAAGTCAAACTTAAGGACTCTTGTCCTTAACTTTTGAACTTGAAACTTGAAGTTAAGGACTACCTGTCCTTAACTTTTTAACTAATAACCGTAAGTTAAGGACCAACTGTCCTTAAATATTGAATATGTAAGTCAAAGTTCAGGACCAAGTGTCCTGAACTTTTCAACTTGAAACTCAAAGTTCAGGACCAAGTGTCCTTAACTTTTTCAAAACAATTTGCAAAACTATGACAATATGTGCTTAATATACAGAAGAACAACAACAAAGTTAAGGACATTATGTCCTTAACTTTTTTGATTCAATTTGCAAAATCAAGACACTATGTCCTTAATATTATGTGCTCAATTTTTATAGAATTATCACAGGACGCGATGTCTTTAACTTTATCAATCTAGAAATTCAAAAAAAATCAAAATTTCTACTTACTGTATAAAAATCAATAGAAATCGGAAAAAGTATAACTATGTCGAAATAAAAATCAATAGAAACACATAAAAGTATAACTTACTGTAAATCTATGTCGATTTTTGGATAAGAATGTTGAATTCTATAGTTTGAAATCGGAAGAGAATCTTCTGCAATTTCGACGATCACAATGAAGTAATTTAGCGTTGCTGCTGCTGCTGATCGTTAATAAAAGCGTAGGTATAAGTTATAGCAGAAGGGTATTTTCGTCCCGTCAAATATAAGTTTACTAAACCAATGGCTAAAGACTAAAAATATTTAAAACACTGGCTTTAAAATAAAGACAAGTGCTGTTAGTGACTATTTGTGCACATCGCCCGCATAGTAAATGAGATTAGCATGGACCAAAAAAAAAAAGATTAGCGGCTTATCAAGCTTCACTTCGACGTGGCAATTTCAAAATTTGAAAAAACAAAACCCCGCCAGTATAAAATCCCAATAATCGAATTCGCAGCGGTAATTCGCATTGCAGAGAGAACTTTCGAGAAGAGATGAAGAAAAGATCGAGATCGACGAGGAAGTCATCTGCCGCGGATTTTCTGTCACCTCCGCCGGCGACCTCGGCTGCAAGTCCTGTCCAGTCGATGAGTGAGTCTCCAAAGCCATTCGAGTTCAACTTCAATACGTTCAACGCTACGCCAGCATCATCATCGAAGAAGAAGCTGAGGGCTACTGGAAAGAAGAGCTTCAATATTTCAAGTCCGGAGCAGTTGAAACCTGCCGGTTCTCCAGCGTCAGTCAAAAACCTGAAGCCGATAGCGGATCTGAAGGAATTTGCATCTTCTCAATTGGACTCTGTTAAGCGCCAGATTGAGCGATCGCACATGGAGATTCTCAAGAACCTCGAGGCTTCTCAATCTCGCCTTCAGAAACGTCTCAAGGTCTGTCTGTCTGTCTCTCTCTCTCTCTCTCACACGCGCACACACACTCACACGTAGCCACGAGATTTTGAAGATAACATTATATTCATACATCCATCTGCTAGTGCTTAGGTCAGTGGTGGAATTAGCTCTTACGCATACGCGTATTTGTGTGTGAGTGTGCGTGTAATAAATGTGTATGGATGTCTCCTGGTAATGCTCGTATTCAAAGTGTACGGACATATATTGAATCCTTTATTCTGATTCCATATACTTTCTAGATGATTCACGATTTTAGGTTTTGGTGTTTCCGGATGGATACGCTTTGTGATATGAGGTGATTTCCAACTAATTTTCTCAGTTCGGTCATTACCAATTGTTTCCAGTTTGTTGATCTAGTTTTCTCAATTCGGCGGTCTATCAACTATTCGGTGTTGTTGCTTTTGTGTTTTGAGATGCAGCTTCTAAGAAGTTGCATGATCTCAGCAACTAGAATAGTGAATGTCCAAGAACATTCCCGAATATTAAAGTTAATCATCAGACGGATGATTAATGAATCTGATTCACTCACAATCTTAGATTTGTTATAAGTATTCCCCTCAGAATTGTTTTAATGCCAGGTAGATAGGCTTTAAGTATAGCAAAATTATTCTTTTTGCTAAAGATGAATAAGCTTATGGACTAAAATGTGTATATTTCGCATACGATATCTAGGTTCCTTGGCTCTCACAAAGATTCAAGCGTAACCCAGAGTTCTGCGCAATTATCTGTTGACATAGCGACATCTAGCACTGAAGTGTTAATTTAGGCTCTTCTAAATGAGATTCCAATGTTACAATACCAAATTATTTGTCCGTTTTGTGCGTCAATGGTGCAGTTCTTCGCGCTATATTATTAAACACGAACCAGAATGTTTAGCTGTACTTTATTGGAAGAGGATACATAACAGACTTGCAAGTTGAGCTTGTTACATGCAAAGTAATTGTCTTCATTAAGAGAGAGCATCTAGTTTAAAACTTTATTTATGTTCAGAAATAAGAAGAAATCTCTTTTAAGCTTTATGAGATTAGTCAATTTTGAGTTATTAACCTAAGTTCAAGTAAATAAGGTTTAAAATCTTGTCTTCTCTAAGTTGATCTCATGCTTTACAAGCTCCCATCAAGCTATGGATACAAGATTAAGGATAATCCATCGAGTTACGTGATTTTCCACTGTTTCATGATTTAGCGGTTATGTTAAGTAGTTTTCTCTCGGTAGCTTCATACATCATTATGTTGTTCCTTTAACTTCTTACGCAATTAAAAGGGCTAGAAGAACCATCTATGACCAGTTCTATAGATAATATAGTCAATTCCACGCATCGGAATGTGGTACATTTCCTTCTAATTTTGTGTAATTAAACAGATTCAGACACAAGGATGCCAGCAAGTGGCAGATGAAGCAGAAAGGGACTATAAAAAGATATCTGAGCGAATCAATGAAGGCAGGGATGCAATGAAGGTGAATCTTTCATTATAGATCTGCTATTATATTTCACAAGTCTGATCCTATTTAATCTCAGTTTCCGTGTCATTACCATTGGTTAATTTGATCTTTCCTTTATAGGANCTAGTTGCTGGTAGCACCTCTTGGGTTGGATAGTTTGATTTGAGTCTAGCTAAGGTATTCAGCAAAGAGTAATGGAAAATTGTTAAGGTAACAAAACTTTTCTGATCATTGCACCTGAGAAATTGATGGAAGTCCATCTTCGAACATCTCAAATCATTTTCCTTTTGAACTCTCAAATTACCTGCCACTGCAAATGCTTTAGGATGATTAGAGTTAGAAGATAAACAACAAAAAGTAGGAACCGAATAGAAGACCTAAAAAGGAGAGTAAAAGTGCGTGTGGGTGTGTGTCATAAGTAACATCTAAAGTTTCTTTCAGTCACTCCCTTGGAATGATCTATTCAACCCTCGCTAGTGAAACTATCCTGATATGGACCCCCTTGTAACATAAACATATAATGGAGAAATTTATTGTGCTACCGTCTCATTCTATTAGCACGGAAGTATCAAGCATCATATACCATCTTTCTCCAATTATCCTTCATACTTTACAGGAAAGACAACCTCTTCCTTGGAGTTACCCAGCTAGTTAGATATTTATTATGTGAGCTTCGAGAAGACTCATAGCAATCTAGAAATGCATATGTTTGAAATTAATTATTTATGCCCCTTACTAATGTATGGAGAAATTTTCTTTGGAGAAAGAGATATTGCTCAGCATTATATTCTAACGTAAATATCCTTCTGTTAGCGTGTGAAAATATTATTGTCAGTTGATAATAAAATTAGAGCTTTGTTTACGTACCTTTTTTATGAAGCATTTCATTGCTATTTGGTACTTTCCCCATGGCTGTTGCTTACTTCAGAATACTACATTAAATTTTTTTTATACCAGTCTAATCATAAACTATAAAGAGAATATACTGTTTTAATTGAAATAACTCACTACTGTATACAACCACCACTTATTTCTTTGTATGTTTCTACAGATTAGCATGTACAAAATATAATATTATGATGCAATAAAAGAATGATATAGACTAACTTGTGCGACAACTTCAAATGCATTTAATTATTTGCCTAATTTGAAGCAAGTGCCATAATCATGTTAGGAGTGCCTGGTTCGAGTGCAAGGGATGAAAGAATAAAGCATGTTAAAGCTAATATGTCCCATTAATCAGCAAAAGCATAATGATTTATGTTTACTTGATAAAAAAGGGCAGGATGATTTATCATTAACAGAAGCAAAGGGAAATGAGAAAATTTTTCCTTTTATTTTAGCCAAGCTTCAAACTGTGTTTTACCAAATTCAATCAATTTTAAACAACTGATAACACACAAATTTGTGTTCCTTCAAAAGCAAATGAGAATTGCAGGTGAGCAGTACCTGGTACTAATTAATAAAATGACAATGAAGAATAGATAGCTACCAAAGATGAGAATTTTATGGAAAGTCTTCTCTATATTACTAAACATAATAAATGATTTGTTGTTTGTTGCTTGATCTTCACCAAGAAATAGCACTTTGAAGCAAAAATAGCAATTATGAAGCAAATTCATCTAAATTAAATTTGAACTCACTCAAAAACCACACCAGATAGCTGAGATAAAAATGGACAGTGCAAAAAAAGGCAAAGGTAACATCTATTGCATAAGGTGTCACCTCTTCTCTGGGTTCGCCCATACCAGACAATCATTATGCAATTTTATCCATACAAAATGAAATGACATTGAAGGAAACCTCACATTTACATTTAAGCTTTTGCTGTTGATTGTGGAGATGGTTCTTGAGGTGAGAAGCTTATAACAACATTTGTCGTTTTTATTTGTCATATTCTGTTGGTAGGCGAAATTTTGTACAGTCTGAAATATTTCACCAACAATATATGAATCATTAATAAGTGCAAGTTTTAGAAGACTATTAGAAAAGGGTAGTCTAACTATAATACAAATATAGATCTATGGTGAATAGTGCTATGTATTGTCAATGTAACTCCTATGTAAAATACCACTAAAGGTTCTTGTTGATATACAGATGTTGATGATAAAGTAGTCTTTCTCAAGGAAAAAAACATATTCAGATAGTTCATAATTTTGTTCATAGTCAGCGAAGAAGATACACATAAAAATGAAAAAAAGTTACTAATTAGTCAGAATCCTGTTAGTAATAGATGAATAGCAAAACTAACGATCCAAGTGATTTTTCCATTTGATTTTGGTTTAAAAAGGAAGGTCATGTGACTTGCTTAAAACATTATAAAGCACCTCATAAAGAAAGATTCCTAGGCGAAAAATTCATATATTGTCCTTTCCTATTGGTGCAGGAGCAAGTGAGAATGTGGAGTATATGTAATGACATGCACCTTAATTTCAATAGGAAATTTACAATCTAACAACATAATTTTACAGGGATTTCACATAAACACACCATGAAAATTAGTAATTGTAACACAATAACAAAATAAATTAGCTTACCTTATATAATTCAAGTACCAATTATTGTTTCAAAAAGGATCATCCCAGCTTATTGCAAAGATCTACTTCATACTTGATACGACTTTTTCAACACAATTCCAGCTTCATCAGTGAACATCTTGTCATGCCAATCAAGCTTCATTAAGGTGGTACGTACTCCAACTGCTTGTGAAAGAGAGTATACACCTTACAATCATTGTAGATAAGACCTTAAGTCCTCAAACATTGGAGAGGGCTTCATAAGTTTAGAGAAAGCAACAACACCTTTATCTCCTCTCATGTCATTGAAAAAATGAAGGACCTACAGTTTGCAAGTTGAGGGAATCAGTTGGCACTTCGCACGCTGCATGTGCTATAACCAAACCAAACATTATACCTCTTTTTGGTTTTGTACGAATATTTCACCCAATTTATCTTAGGGTATGCCTTTCGTTTTACATTAACTTGGGAATACACATAAAATTGCAATTAACATTGTTATATCCAACTAAGCACCATGAAAGTTTGTATAGAAAGTGTAAAGTTAAAAGTACAATAAAATGCAGTTATCTCATCACTTAAACAAAAGGCAGAAACTGATAAGTGAAAGCAGCACCAATAGTTGTAACATCAGTAGTACAACGTTACACTCACCTTCTGCATATGCATAAATAAGATTTTGATCTAGTAATGTTCACGTCTTCTCCAGCAAACAACATGAAACAAAAGTGAGCGGATGTGCAATCACAGTCTCAAACGGAAAGGTGGAAACTCCCACTGTGTTTTTTTCTTATCCACCCCAGCAACTTAAGCATCAGTCAAGAAAGAATTGGCTGGTTTTTTTTTTCACAATGCTGATTAATAAATCAATTTATAATTCTATGATAAATGAATCACGTATAGTGAGCCGAACAGAAATAGCAGAAAAATTATTCTCCAAGTAGATCTACGGGAAACAATCAACATAAACCACAAATCATATATTCTTACATACATCAATTTAACATACTATTAAGTCTTTCTTCCATTGTCTCATAACTATTCATGTGCTATTAGTTCTTTCCGCATCTCGATATAGGCATGTTTAATTTCATAATGCCAAAGCAGGGGATCAACAGTCCCATATAGGTATAAAGCACCTAATTCATAATGATCAAACAACTTGTACTCCTTCAAAATTGTAGGTTCATTATTTGGTCCTATAATATATAGACTGAACAAATAGAATAAACTTTGTATGTTCAATACAAATAATGAAAAATAAGGCAATTAAAAAAAATCAATTAAACTAGTCTTAATAGCATAAGTGTTCTCATGTGGAAGTTTCTTATTGCCACTTAAAAGAGCTCAACTAACATAGCTACATTCAACCTAAAAAAAGTTTATAACTACAGTCTAGGTTCCATGAAAAGTTTTATAGGAAGTGAGAAGCTGAAATATATCTTGTTGTTTCATCACTCCTACAAAGGTAGATACTATCAACTTACAATAGCTAGAACATTGGCAACATAAGTTGAACAGAATTGGCACTTCTCTTTTGCTGTAGAAATTTAATCTTGAATTATATTATTTTCCTCTTCTTCAACAAACAATAGGAAATTTAATTGGGTAGCTGCATTTAAAGCCTCAACAGAAAAGTTGAAAATTCTCATTGCATGATCGTTGCAAAGTTTGTGGCGTACAGTGAAGAGGAAGTCAAGTCTTTATGGGGTAACAATGTCGATGAATTATGCTAGTGCATTTATTCCTCTTTTGGCCTTTTAGGTAAAGATGTCCATAAACCAAGAGAGGCTGTAATCTTGTATATCCTACCAAAAGAGCTTTTATGAAGTAGTTTGAGTCCATTTACTTTCAAGTTATTTTCATCACATAACACAAACAGTTACTTGCTTAAGTTACCTAATTACCAACATTAGAGAAATAGAAGGAAGAAAAAATATTTATAAGCACGCAAGAAGAAGATATGAACTGGACATGATGAAAGTAAAACCAAATTGACGCCTACTTTAAGCCAAAAGAAAATCAAAAGAAACATTTTTGTAAGGTTATTATCCTGAAACCTTACACTACTATTAAAATTGAAATACAATTAACCAAAATCATGATAATCAACGTGAAAAATTGAAATAACCCAAAAAGGGTCTTAATAGTTTTTTTAGAAAGTAAAAAATTCCTCCATTACCTCTTTATATGAGTAGCCCACATATCACTATGAAGCAGGTTCTTTGCAGCCTTCACCTGTTTTCTCCTGTACTTCAGAAAATCCTATGTGCCTTTTAGTTGTTTGGTCAAATTGAATTCTTAAAACACAAATTCAAATCTTACATTAAAATAAAAAAATTACTTATATGTAACAGCCAATAATAAACATATAGAAAGAACCGTGGACTGGAGCTCGCAGTTTTTCATGAACGAAAAAGAAAAAAAACAGCAAAAGGAAGAATAGGGAAAATCCATAGAAGAAGAAAGCATGAAGAAGAAGGAAAGCAAGAAAATAAAGAGTAAAATTAGAAGCAATTAAAGTGACAGCAAAATAATGTAGGAACAATGGAAGTGAAAGACATGTTTCCGCACCAAAACATAAAGAAACCAACTACGTGTCAAGGAAATTGAAGAGAATGAAACGGCGACCAAAATATAAAAAGGCCATGACAAATATTTGTAATTTCCATTTTACCGTGTTCGTCCCACGACAAACATTTAACTGCCATTTCTAAATAGTAGTAAAGTAATACACCGAAAGTACCTTACCAATTTCTTTTAGGAAAAATGATACTGTATAGTCGTTCCCAAAATAATAATCGAAAATGTGTATTTTATATTTTTTTTGAATATATATGTATTATGTATATATATATAAATATTATACAAATTTTATACACTTTTTCGTCTACGAAATATAAATAGTTTTTGGTACAGGCTAAAAGTAATAATACCCTTTATTTTGCCCCTTTGGTCAAGTACTTGTTTTTTTAATAATTAGTCCACTTCAGAGATTACGCAAAAGAGTAAAATGTAGCATGTAGAAAAATCCGTCTAAATCTTTTGAGCAGCATTTAAGCTTTTCAAAGTGGAACTGGAGAGATGGTCTGTCAACAAGTGGTCGATATGGACCTCATGTCCTCCTTCCCTGGAGAAAGGAATCATATGATAGTAGTTTTAAATATCCAAAAGAGAAAGCTGCTAGCCTATGCCATTTGAGCTGTAATACAGTAACTATTAGTGTCCAAAAAGCTTTTAAAAAATAGAATTATTCAATTATTTGTCAAGGGCAGTACAGTTTCAGGGTTAAAGCTGGATATAAGATAAGCTTTGTCCAAAAATCAAGATAAAAGACTATGCCCACCAACCGATAGAACAATTTGAAAATGTAGGTTTACAGGGCGGAGAAGTTATGAGAACCTGCTCTTATATTAATCCTAAAGTAGCATCACCCTACCATCCTTTCATAATAGTGTTGGAACAATTGGTTACGGAGAATATGAATTAGCTTGAGGCGAGTCAAGAATACTGTCCTTAAAGATATTTCGCCCACATAATAATAAATAAAATTAAGCGTATTCCCCAGAATTCAACAAACTCTTTCAATTATTAAATTGGGAACAGAACTAGCAGAAAATTCAAGAAAGAAACCCAACATATAGGAGGAAGACGATTCAGAAAATTGTATTAAAAGTGTGTCTTTAGCTCTTCAACCATGTTTATATAGGTGTTGCTCCAACGACTAGTTAAAGACTAGTTAACAGCTAGTCTGACTCTATTAATTGTAAAATAACTTACTAAATAATAAGTAAATATAAATAATATTTCAAAGATAAAAGATTTTTCAAACCAAGATGGACATTACCTTTTGAGATATCACTAATTTTCCAACAAATAGATGGATCTGACGTCAAGAGGTTGATATTATCCCTCGTGGACCAAAATAAGTTCATGGACTTGAGAATAGAACAAAAAATAGGGAGACAAACCCTCTACCGATAAGAGATGCAGCTATATTGAAAGACATTATCTCGCTTGCAAACATATCTAAGTAGGATTAAATATATTACAGAGATACCCGATATTATAATCATCGTTGATCGGCATTGTGATGACCCAAAAGGTTATCACTTATTTTAAAAATAATTTTTGTGTTTCGAGGCTTTAAAAACCTCTTTCTGCATCACCTCGATTTGCGTGCACAATCCGGGCACGTAACCGGAAAGCCAATATGTGAAAAATCTGTGAAAAATGATGAATTTTGACTTTAAAATGAATTAAGTTGACTTCGGTCAACATTTTGGGTAAACGGACGCGGGCATGTTATTTGACGATCCCAGAGGGTCCGTAGGAAAATATGGGACTTGGGCGTATGCCCGGAATCGAATTCCGAGGTCCCAAGCCCGAGAAATAAATTTTTAAAGAAAATTATTTTCTGGAATATTTATGAGTTTTTGAAAATGAAATGTGTTTAAAATTTGATGGTATCAGGCCCGTATTTGATTCCGGGGCCTGGTACAGGTCTTATATATGATTTAAGTCGAGTCTGTGAAATTTGGTAAGAAACGGACTTGAAATGACGTGAATCAGACCTTAATTGAGAAAATTGGAAAATTTGAAGTTCTTAATAATTTTCATGATTTTGATGCTAAATTCATAGTTGTTGATGTTAATTTGGTAATTTTAATGCACGAGCGAGTCCGTATGATATTTTTGGGTTGGTGTGCATGTTTGGTTTGGAGCCCCGAGGGCTCGGGTATGTTTTAGATAGGTCACAGAGTAGAATTGGACTTGGGAAAATTGCAGACTTCAGCTGTTATATCGCAGGCCTGCAGGCTTCGCATGACTGGCAAATGCGAATTCGCAAATGCGAGGGCTGAGTCGCAAATGCGAACTAGCCCAGGCCAGTCTTCCCTCGCAAATGCGATGTTTCCCCTTTTGGCCAATCGTCGCAAATGCGACAGAATGTTCGCAAAAGCGACTTCGCAAATGCGATAACATCAGAGTCAGGGTTCGCAAATTGCGAACCCTGGTCGCAATTGCGATACCTGCAACCTGTAAGTTCATAACTTAGATGCATTTTCAATTATTTTTCACATCTTCTCAAAACATAAACTTTCTAGGGCGATTTTTCAAAGGCAACTTCTCTTCCTAATCGATTGTAAGTGATTTCTAACTAGTTCTCTTTAATCTTTAACATCTTTTCACATGATTTCAACTCAAAATCAATGATTTTCATGGGGTAAATTGGGTGTTTTGAGTAGAACCTAGGTTTTTCAAATTTTGAGGTTTTGGACCTCGATTTGAGGTCCGATTTCAAAACAAATTATATATTTGGGTTCGTGGGGAATGGGTGATCGGGTTTTGACCATGTGAGCCCGGGGGCAATTTTTGACTTTTTGGGTAAAACTTTGGAAAACTCATTTTCATGCATTAGAATTGATTCATTTAGCATTTATTGACGTAGTTAAGTAACTTGTGGCTAGATACGAGCGAATTGGTGGTGGAATCAAGAGGTAAAGCGATAGTTGAGACTTGAATTGTGTTCGTGGCATCGAGGTAAATATTTGGTCTAACCTAAGCTTGAGGGATTAGGAGTCGAGTCTTATTTGCTATGTGGTATTTGTTGAGTACGACGTATAGACATGATGACGAGTATCTATACGTTGGTGTCAAGCATGCCCGTGAGTTTTATATTGTGATTATTATGACTTCGTTGTATTATTCATGCCTTGGTGACAATTTCTATTGTTTGGCAAAGTTTGTGGAAGTAATTGTGACATTTGAACATTGAGGAGCATTGGCTCAAGTTGTATAATGAAATGTGAAAGTATAAGTGGTAATTGAACCTTTTAGAGCATTGGCTCAAGATGTGAAATGAGTTGTGAAGTAAAAGTGAGAAAGAGAAGAGAATCATTACGTGGTCTCCCTTGCTAGGATATTGTTGCTTTTAATGTTATCTCTTTTGTCGGGATGTTGATACTTCTTTTGATGTTGTTCCCTTGCCGGGACTTGATTGTTGAACTATTATTTCCTTGCCGGGATTCTTATTGTAGTTTCATTTATTTCCTTGCCCTATTGTTTGTGATTGTTGTTTGGATGAGAAAGAGTGTTAAAGCGCGAAGGGTGATGACGTGTATTGTTTTGATGAGAGAGTGTTAAAGCACGAAGGGTGATGCTGTGTATGATTTGTGAGGAAGAGTGTAAAGCACGAAGGGTGATGTCGTGCCGCACGATGTACAATTCCGTGCCGATTATATTGATTATGTGGTGAGAACGAGAGTAAAAGCATGAAGGGTGATGCCGTGCATATTTTCATTACTTGATTCCTGACTTTTGTTGATATCTGAGATCTGTTGTTCCTTTTTAATTTCCCGTTGTCTTTCTATTCTTAAGAGATAGTTCCCCGCAGTATGTTTCCCCTCCCATACTTGACTGTATATTACTGTTCTTCTTTTCCACTGTATATGGTTTAAACTGCATAGGTTCATTTAGTAGTCTGGTCCTAGCCTCGTCACTACTTCGCCGAGATTAGGTTAGGCACTTACCAGCACATGGGGCCGGTTGTGCTGATAATACACTCTGCACTGTGTGCAGATCCCGGAGCAACAACTTTTGGACCGTAGCTTGGGTGACTGCCTTCAGTCCACACGGAGATCCAAGGTAGTCCTGCAGGCGTCCGCAGGCCCTGGCGTCTCCCTCTATCCCTTTATCCTGTTTCATTTACATATTTCGGAAACAGTGTACTATTTTTCTTTCAGACTTTGTTTGTAGTACTCTTAGACCGTCTGTAAAGCTGTGACTCCAGCTCTGGGTAGTCTTGTTAAAACAGTTGTATTTGATATACTCAGTACTTTTATTATTTTTCTTCCACTTGTTATAATTTCCGCTGTCTTTACATTATTGTTCAAAATTGTTAAAGGATTAAAATGGGAAATGTTCAAAAAGTCGGCTTGCCTAGCTCACATTAGTAGGCGCCATCACGACTTCCGAGAGCGGAAAATCCGGGTCGAAACAAGCATCAACCCATTCCTCTGAAACTCTAGATGCTCCAAAAGTTTTGGAGATTCCTCCGAACAAAACCAAAAAATCTAATAAGGGATATGAAGAAGATGATATTCATGAAATTTGTGACAATTTCTCTCGAGAGTATTTTATTTCGTTACCTAACGTCAATCATGAAACAAATTTTCTCTTTGGGGAGAATGAAACTCAGAAAATTTGGCCTTTTCCCTGGCGGTCAATTTGGGGATATGGATTTAGCTCCGAATAAGTTTTTGTTTTATCAATGTCCTGCCTGCATTTGCAACCATTGCCATCAGACCAGAATGCCAGGACGAGACATATCACTTTCTCTTTACAAAAATAAGATACTACACTTTCTCAAATATTATAGAAGATTTATCCTCTTAAACTGTGTTGATTCCGTAATTTCTTATCGACCACCATCTAGACTCTCGATGATGATGAAGGAAGTTTCACTCAGCATATTTATTCAAAATAAACAGGAAAAATGTCCTTACATGCCAACTTACATTTTTTGGAAAACTTATGACTCATATTTTCGAAAATTAAAATTTTATTCTACATAACTTTTTCGATCTTA